TTAGCATGGGAAAGCGGCTTTGAGAAAGTTCAACTCCAAATAGATAGCTCGGATGTTTTCTTTTTGTTACAGGATGCTAACAGGGACAGTCCTTATTCTTTGGTGCGGGACATTGCTGCTCTTCTTAATAAAGCTTGGCTTGTCGACATAAAGCTTATCCGTCGTGAGGCGAACATGGCAAAACTGGAAAGCGATGGTGCTGTTAGTTTGATTCTCCTCCGATCGCTCTAAGTGCTTTACTTTGTCGGGATATTCAAGGTCCCCCCATATGTCCGGCCGGGACATGCCTAATCCTATCTTTTAGGCTCATTTCAAATCCAAAAAAAAAAAATCTCACATAATTAAATGATCATGTATCTTAAATTCTTTTGTATTAGAAATTATGTTTTCTTAAATAACCCACGTTAAAATTGTAATCAAAATAATTAATAATATTAAATATCTAGACTAATAATGAATTAAAACATAAAATTAAATCTTAAATTTGAATATAAATAGTGGTTAAAAACATAAATTTACCTAAAATAGCAAAAAAAAAAGGATAATCAACAAAATCTACGAGTGAAATCACCATGGATTTCTTTTTCTACTGATAAATTGACAATAGAGAGTCGCTTTCTTTTCCCCTTAATCAGAGGCATTGATTGGGGGTTTGTGACAACAAAAGGTGTATAATACCCTTTCTCACATAATAAAATAACATAAAAAATCATATTAATAATCAAATCGATAATAATTAAATAAAATATAAAAATTCGTAGAAAATAGTTTCTACTTTATTCAATTGATTTTTTAATCAAAATTTTTTTATTTTATTTTAAAAAAACTCACACTAGTTTATTTTAAATTTATTTGATATTATCAATTAAGTCAATAAAATCATTAATTTTAAGTTTAATTGATCGACTCACCTCAAGACCAAGTCCCAATATACACATAAGGGTAAACTACTATATTGGTCATTCTTATTTTGATTTTGTTCAATTTTAATCACCAAAGCTAAAAACAATATGTCTTGATTACTTGCGTTATACATTCGTTACAATTTGGTTAATGAGCCTTTAATTTTCTTTTATTTTCATGACACGTCACATTAAAAATGAAAAATATTAATTTAACTTTACACTTTAAATAAAATATCAAATTATCATTGCACTTTTATTTAATTAATTTTTAAAATTTTTAATTTAACTATGACAATTTTTAATGAGCCTTAGGTGAGGTTGAATTTTAATTTTTATGATATATGTTCAATGTTCGTGAGTGTCCCTTTTAACAATGTTATTTTCAAGGTTTGAATTTGATTATTTTTAATTTTAATGCAATGTATCCTACAAGTGCACCAAACCTTTATTGATTAACATAGTTTATAAATTACAAGGGGTTAGATATCTGTAATTTCAGACTTATTTCAATTCAAATTTGTAAATCTGTATAAAAAAAATTAAATGTATTTTTATTCAAACATATATAATTATTTTGATCTAAATATGAACTTGAATTAAATATAATTATTCGCCATAAATTAAACTCAAAATTTTAAATCATATGTCGAATATGTACAAATTCGAGTTTGAGTCATAATCCATTAAAAATTGGATGATCAAGGTTCAACTACTAATGGAAGTAAACATATTCTCCATTTTGTAATTTATAGTTAGATTTGGATGTTCAAATTTACATCCAAATAAGTAACATGTATTCGAATAATAGGTATTCGATGACAATTACCCATACTCACTCTAAATTCACAACGAATAGTAACTTTAATATTCGAATTCTTAAATTATTTGAACCTACAATATCAAAATCCGAAACATATACATAAAATTATGAATTCACAACCAAACTATAAACCCTAAATATGGATAATGTATGTTATTGGCAAAGATTCAACCTAAAGAAGTTTCGCTAGGGGAGAGCGAAGGAGGGGTTAAAGAGACATGTAAAGTTGGGAGAATTAATGGTCACATGGATGCATGTGGAAATAAGCAAAGCCATGAGCAAAAGTAATATGAATTGTTGGACAAAATACATGTGGACCTTCACCTTTTTATTATACCACCTTTGCTGTTATGACCACCCATTTGCAAATTGACATGGAAAAACAACTGCTCCTGATAGGGATGCCACGTTGCCATTTCGTCATTTTCGATAAATACGGACATAAGATTTTATTTTAAAATATAAATTTGTAAAATATTTATATTAAAATTTTAAAGATGTAAAGTTTAGATCATTAGTAAAATGATATCCAAGTTATTTGAAAATTTTGAAATTTTCAAGTAGTACGATCTCCCTCGGCACTCCCTCGATCAATCCCTAATAAGAATGATCAGGGTCATGTCGGATTTTTGACTAACCCGAACTCAACTCAAGTATTGTAATAAAATAGCCCTCCCTAATTAACATGTCTCAATCCCTAAAACTAGACAGCTTGACTCTCGTGCTATGGCACGTGTTTGCCCTCAACTCTGAAATCGTATATATATGAGATATATATGACGTCTATGAGTGATCATTTGCACTTGGAAACTTATTTTAGAACATTGTGTCAACGGCATAAAGAAAAGCAATGGTTTATTTTCACATTCATGTAATTCCGGTCTTGGCTTACATTAATTAGAGGGTGTAGCTTAGTTTAATCCCTCTTAAGTATAAAAATTTAAATTTAATCCTTTTTATCCTTGAATATATAATTATAATTATGGTCTTTTCAAGAATAAATAATTTAATTTATGTCATTTTAACATAATATTGTCTTATTGGACTCCATTTTTTTAATTTTTTTTCTTGATATAATAAAATATTATTAGGGCACAAATGATTAAAGATAATGTTATTTTCCTTAGTGAGGTCGAAACAATTGTATTCGTAAGATATATTATTAATAAGTTAAGAAAAAATTATTACTATATATTATTTTATAATCACTCAGGATTATTAAAAAACCCGTGAAAATATATAGTAATAAAATGAAAGGAAATCGAGATATAGTATGAGAAAAAATTATATTAATTATCATAGTAGCCATACTACTATTTTAATCGAAGGATTTAGGTCTTTGTAAAAACAAAATAGAATATTAAATTTTAGAATACAATGACAGAGTTATATAAATTTTTATATTAATCTTCTAATTTAATGTAAAAAAAGATTGAACTTTCTTTTCTATAAAATATATCTTATAAGGATAATGCAGTGAAGTGTAATATTTTTAGATAATTTTATATTTCATTTCATCAATTAAACAATAAACCTTCACTTTTTTAAAAAATAATTAAACATAATAATATAGTTAGGGATGACAATTTGATCTGAATTAGACGGATTCTGAATCGATTTGATAAGATTGAGCTTTTTATATTTAAGTTTGAATTAGATCAAATTTTATAATGTATGAGTTCAAGTTTATAATAAAAAAATATTTTCATTGATATAATAGTAATTTTCTTTTATATATCTAGAGATAATCGTTATAATACCTTCCTCTCTAATATTTTTCAATTAGGTCATAATGTTATTGAATAAAAGTAAGAAATTTTATATTTTGATAGGATCAAATACAAATTTGTACATTAAATTTCAAGTTAAATAATTTTTTTCTAAACCTAAATTGAATCAAATATTACGTAAAAAGTTTAATACTCAAGTCAGATTTAAGTTGATCTCCGATCCGACCCATTATTGTTTTTACATATAACATACTCTACAATAAATTATATAAATAATATTACATTATAATAATGAGATTTTAAAAATAATTTTATATTTCGTGAATCGGTTCAACAAGTTTTATCTTAAGTTTGTGATGTGATATTTACTATGTAGGTTGTCAAAATTTGAATGGGGGCACATCCCACATGCAATACAAGCGATTTAAGGGCGGGTGGAGTTAAAATTGTAGGGTCATTGAGCCACGTGAGGGTGAGAAGTGCTGCATGAATATTATCATGTGATGTGATTTGACTCTGTCACACCGTGACATGGATTTCATGTTCGTCGAATCTATTAAAAACAGTATTCTATATTTAAAACATAAACAAATTCAATAGGAAAAAATTGGATCCAAATTAACACGATAAATGAAAATAAATTACGTTAATTTATTCTTGGGTAAAATAATATGATAATAAAAAATAAGTTCACAAAAATTTTTATAATATTTTACATTTTTCTAACGTCAAAAGTAATTCTTTGCAACGAATAACGAATAAAAAGAATATGGGTTTGCTTGTCAAATTAGATCTATAAAATTATTCATAAAATTAAAGAAATCAATAATAATTAAACTCCAAATACATGGAATTATAAATGCACTTATACTCTAAATTTTATTTCAATATATATATAATTTGGCAAAGGATAATTAATAAGCACTTGTTTTAAATGAAAACTTTTAGCGTCACTTCAACATTCTTCGTTATAAAAATGTAAATTCTTAAATCATTCCTTTCAGGTACTCAAATTAATATAATTATTAATATTGCCTGGATTATTATTTAAACGTAAAACATTATATATTATATTTATATTATTAAATAAATATATTTAAAATTAATAATAGGATGTTAAAAGTCAATCAATTTAACTAACTGTCTATTAATCTAACGAGATAAATCGTTTAATCACTTAAGTAAAATTAGAAGTATGAATCATAATATTATAAATTAAAAAAAAATTGGAACAGCCACTCCCACAATAAACATTTGTAATATCTCGTTCAGACAAATCAATCGGTGATTATACTAAAATGTCAGAAAATTTAATTATAAATCATTCATACGAATGTTTATTGCCTGTCCATTTAATGATTTGAAAATAAGGTCGTAAAAACTACAAAATTCTTCTATTAAATATTAATACTTTGATGTTATTAATATATATTAAATGAAATAAAAAACATTATCACTTATTTTTAAATTAATTGTTGATGTTTAAAATTTATAATCATATTTAAGGAGTTAATACGTTAAATACTAATCACTTCCTTACTTCCTTTCCAAAAAATTTTTACAGGTCGACATGAGCACAAAGTCTATCAGCCAGCGCCGGCGGCTGCGTTCGAACGCTGCCACCACCACCGAGGAACTCGGCAATAGCCGTCATGGCGCGAACTTGCATCTCTAAAGCCGCTATGTAATCGCTAGTTTCATCTAGAATGATCGAGTAAGCTAGCTTACGGCAACCGGGGACAAGCTGTCTCAAAACCTTCAGCTTCCTTTCAACGACCGTCAATTTCCTCTTCTCTTTGGTAATCTCCGATCTCCTCGACCTACTGTATCCGGCGACGACCTTCGCTTTCTTATATTTCTTTATAATCTTGGCGCCGGCACTTAGAATGGATCTGCTCCAACGCATTGTTCCCTTTGCGGCGACGGCCAGTACTCTGTCCGCCGTTTCGCGGACTTGTTTGGCGGATACGGAGGAGGAGGACGGAGGAGAGTGACGGAGAGCTCGGATTAGCTTGAAGGTGTAGATCTGTTGCTGTTTTTGTGTCGTCCATTGATTTGGATCGAAAGAAGGCGGTGTTGTCGTCGTTTTCTTCGGTTTATTGTGCTCTGAGGTCTTATGAGGGCTTGGTGTGAAAGAAGCCATGGAGATTAAGTCCAAAGCTTGGCGGAATTGCAGGAATGGAGAAGAAAGAACGATCTCAATTTTTATTTTTTTGAAAAAAATAAATTTATGGTTCGGGAGTTTTAGCGAGGAGCAAAGGTGCTTATAAATAGGATAGTGTGACAATAGAATAAGGTAATATTTGTTTAAATAAAAATTTTAATTAGATAATGAAAGCTCGTATCCCTGATATTATTAATGTTTAAACACAAAATCTAAAAGAATAATAATAATTCATTTATCATCGTGTTAATGCAAATATGTTTAGTTCGTGAAAAAGGTCTTAATGAGAAAATAATATTTTTTTCTAGAATCTTACATTCATATTTATTTTGTCATCGTTCTCATCTGGTGGGAGAAGCATTGACAGCCGTAATCATTTTTTTGATAAGGAGTTAGAAAATATCATTTCCATTCATTCTTTAGGTATTTATCAATCTATATCATTTTAGATAAATTATCCTTTAAATAATAAGTATTGGGTCTATTTGCTACATATTTATAACGAAATAACTAATTGTTTGAGGTGTAAATTTATTAAATATTTTTTTCATATTAGTTTAATATTCAAATAGTGTTTTAATATTTCATGTATTGTTATTAGTATTGTGTTCACGACATTTCTAATATTACTTCAAGGAAAAACTATTTTAGATATTATTCAACTTTGTATGATGACTTGTTTATATAACTGTCAATTATAACATTTTGGCTTTAGTTTTATATTCAATTATGCAACTCTACTATTAAGTCAGTTACTAGATGATATATCTAACGGTTATTTATGTGGCCTGCCATACCAAAACGGAATTGTTTTAGTGCAGTTGTTATGATACCTAAAATGACGTCGTTTTAGACGCTAAACCTTTAGTGATGTATCGATTTTGCTATTAAACTTTTAAATAGTTTTATCTTTTAGCACTGTACTTTCTGGCCAACATAGTAGTCAAGAAAGTCCCGTCATCGGTCATATTTCAACACAAGATTAGTACCAAAATGTTCATATTTCACTCATCTTACTTCCCATAGGATTGGTTTTCTGTGAAACCCACTGAAAAATTGATAAAAAAAACTATTTAAAAAGGTTAATGTATTAATACTTCGATTTCTTTCAATAACCGTCTAATGAGGCTAGTTTTAAGATACATTGTTCGTATTCTCGAAATAATGCTTTTTACCATTTAGATTTTCGAAAAGTACCTCAAATCCCTTAAATATAAGAAAGTCTCCAAACATCTAAAAATGGTAGATTTTTTTGTTTGATGTTGTCGATTTTTAGTGGGTTTTATGGATAACTAATCTTATGAGAAGAATGAGGTGGGAAATGCAAACATTTTGGTATCAACTTTGTCATGAAAGATGATTGGTGATGAACGATGATTGGTTGTCAACGACGACTAAAAATGCAGTGTCAAAAAATAAATTGTTTAGAAGTTATGTGGTACAATTGATACACTCATAAAGTTCAATATCTAAAACGACGTCGTTATAGACATCGAAATAGTCACAAGAAAATGATGTTTTGGTGTGGCATGCTACGTCAACAACAGTTGAATGTAAAACTAAAATTTAATACTATAATTGAAAATTTTGAAAGTTTAGTGATATAAATGAGTTAGTAGACAAATTTTAACGATATCTGAAGTAGTTTTTATTTGTTTTAAAATATATTATCTAAATATTTAGCTCGTAATATAAAATTTGATTCAAGTTTAAGCTTGAGTTATATAAAAGAGTTTGGCTCGCAAACTTATAACAACGAAGTAAGCATAAATTATTCCATTTCCCTCAAAAAGTTTTATCAATCTGGAGTATAAAAATAGTATTTATTCAAAAAAATTCAATCATTTGATATTAAACGTTTTTATTTCGGGAAATAAAATAATAAAATTAATTTTGAAATATAAAATAAAATATTGGCGACACAATTCATCATCATATCCTTATAAAAGCGATTCACGGGAAACAACAGGTACGGATTTATTCTTTTTGAGTCACATTTATTCCTTGTGGGCTTCTCCATTGGTTTGGATCTCATCTCAAGCATTGAAAATAAGTAGTTGTTTTAGATGGGATAAATGGTAAAATTATACATACGATTTTAATTAAATGTATAATATTATATATAAATTTTAATTTGATTTATTTTTCATAAAATATTAAAAATAGTTATCAACAGGGACAAACGCAAATTTTTTAAAAAGAGAAATTATATAAAATTTTAGAGTAAAATGAATTTATAAAATTTAAAGGGACGAAAGTAGATTATTAATAAAAAATGAAAATTAGGACGATACTAACGTGATCTTTTTTATGATTTTTTAATTTTCTACATCATTTTCTCTCTTTTAATCAGGAGTTTATGTATCATTTTTATAATAATTTTTTTGAGTATAAGATAATGTTATATATTAATATTTTATTGATCAATAAAATGAAAGAAAATAAATTGATTTGATAATATTTTGCATTCTAAATTTGAGTCTTTCTTGGCTCTCGATGTCTCGAATTGGATTGCAACTAATTTGCAGGGACCATCCATTTTTGCGAAGCGTGCTGCCAATTAGATCTCATGTTTACTGCGACTTTTTGGCTCACACGTAATGCTAAGGTGTTTGATGCTCCCATGGAACGAAAGGGGTCAATAATTGATCGAAGCAGGCAGCTTGTTCAGTTGACTATCCAAGCTTTCGAGGAGAGAGAAATGGTTTCGATCACTGCTCTTTCTATTCCTCGTGGTCCTTCTCGTTGGGTACCCCCGCCCTCTCAGTGGGTTAAGCTTGATACGGATGCTGCGTGGAGAGAGGATGACGGTTGACCTCTGTTTATTCATTTCCCACCTGATTCAATAGTTAGCCTCCTGCATGATGATAGCTTGATTATAATAGACGATGGTAATTGACTCCTGCTTGCCTGGTTTAGCTTTGTTTGCTTTGCATTTTTTTTTTGTTATTTTTTACTAGCACATGCATGTACTCTTTTCTTCCAATTAGGTTAGGATTTTTAAAGAGCAACGTGTTATTTTCCGTTGTATGACTCCTCATTAATGAAATCATATTTTTCACCCAAAAAAAAAACTAAAAAAAATTGATTACTTTTGGGAAACAAATAAATCAAATCCAAGACCCTTGTAAAAGAGTTTTACCGCTTAGCCATTAAACTATTATTATAATTTCATTAAAATCTATATTTAGAATTGTCAAATAAAACTAAAAAAACATAAGTATTATAAAATTATCAATAAAATAATGATATATGTCATTATTTAGTTATGGACATAAAATTATTAAAAAAATAATATAATAATTATTGATTAAAATAATAAATTTAATGTGATTTTTTATATTAATAATATCATTAATTTTTTCAACCATAATAATTAAAATAAAATAGATGGTAAGTGATAATTTTATTAAGGTTAAGGTACACAAATGATCCCCAATTATAAGGCATTGTTTTGTTGAGTTTTCTGATTATTAAAAGGTATAAAATAGTCATTTGATTATAAGACGTTGTTTTGTTGAGTTTCCAACTGTTAAAAGTTACAAAATGGCAATCGATTATTCATATGTTCTAAAATCGTTTTTTTTCCTGTTAAAATTTTGATGTATGTTTGAGTTGGACGTTAACTTGCTGACTAAGATATGAGAAAATCATATTTAATGATGTATAGTGGCATGATCGTTACTTTCAAGAAATGATTCGCCAACATAATGTTTCAAACATTGACTCAACGACATAATGTAAACAGAGATTTGTTCCACAAAATACATCTAAAACAATTTTAGGATTAGATTTTATCATATCTTAGTCGACAAATTAATATTCATCTCGACAATCGTTATTTTTTAATGACAAAAGGACAAGTTCGTAACATATAAATAGTCGGTGAACATTTGTAACTTTTAATAGTTAAATAACTCAACAAATCAACACCCTACAATTAAGGGATCAGTTTATAACTTTTAATAGTTGAGGGACTTAAAAAAGTAATACTCTATAGACAAAGGACCATTTGTGTACTTTACCCTAAGTTTTTGAAAAGAATTTAATAGGGCCTATTAAAAGAAGATGCAGGAGACGGTAGCAGTAGGCATGTAAATGAACTGAACGTTCAGCGAACCGTTCATGAACCGTGCGGTGGGAAGTTCGTTTATTTATTAAATGAACGAATATGAACAAGATTTTGCGTTCGTTTAATTAAATAAACGAACATGAACAAAGAGATCGTTCGTTCGTTTATGTTCGTTCATTTATGTTCATTTATATTCGTTTATTTATGTTCGAACAGAGGGCAAATTGAATATGTTACGAAGATTATTGAAGTTGTTTAGATTTCAAAAAGATTGTTTTGTTAAACAAATTAACTTAAATACTTTATTATGTTCATATAGCTTATTTATGATTTATGTATGTTTTTGTCGTATTCGAACAAATTAACTCTAAAGTTTCAGGTTATATTAATGAATTTTAAGGGTGCGTTTGGTTCACGGAATGTAAGATTAACAGTGGGAATAAAAGATTACCAGTGAATATGATTACTGGGAATGTTGTATTTTGTGTTTGGTTGGTTTAGTAAGAATGTAAGATTACCGTGTTTGGTTAAAGGAATAAAAGATTATTAGAATGTATATTTGACCAAATTGTCCTTATTATATATTTGTATAATATTACAAATTGTAAAATATTTATATATTTTCTTTAAAAAATTAAATTCATAATATTTATATATATTTTTTATAAAATTAAAAATATAAAAAAGGTTTAATGAAAGGGTAAATTTTTTTTAACCCCTGAACTTCATATAAAATTTTAATTATAGACTTTTTTTTGTAAATCTAAAATAATTTAAGGATAAATTTGTAATTTAACATTCGTAGAATTTTTATTATTCAATGACAGAAGAATGATATTTTTGAAAAAAAGTAAAAATTTAAGGGCATTTTAGTCCAAAACGCCGGTAATGTTACAATACCTAAGGGAAGGGAAGTAATGACATTCCCGGTAATATACCTCAAAAAATCTACTATTGGTAATAAAACATTACCGGGAATGAGATTCCCGAGAGAATC